CGCAGGAGAACTCTCCGCCGGGCGTGTTAACGAATTCCGTCGGGACACAATCGATCCCCCCAGATAATAACCCGAATCATCGCCGGCGCAATTACTCCTTCGCAATTACGTGCCGCGAGACATCGCGATAGCGTGTATTGACATTTCGGAGCCGCGCGCCCCGCGCGCCGCCCGCCGCAAATTATTCACGCCCCGCGCCCGCGACGGTGGTTATAATGTCACCCGTATGGAAGACGAGATCGCGGTATCGACACCGCCGCTTATTATCTCGCATTAAGTCGTCAGTTCCTCGCTCGTCCCCGCCCCCGCCCTCGCGTGCGCGCGCGCGCGCTCGGGCGAGCAAGAAAATCGCGTGTGCCGGCTATAAAATTCGCGGCGCTGCACAAAGAGGCTCGTCGGAGTCCTCCTCGTAATTCCGCTCGTCGTCCGTTCCTGCCGCTCGTAAATTGAAATTCACCGTGGCTCGCCAAACGCGAGCCGAGGCCTCCACGTGCGACGTCCCCTTGCCCCTCCGCAGGCTCATGCCCGCCGCTGTTGAACGTTCAGTTCGACGCGATACATAGCGGGGAGGTGGTTGGGTGAACGGTTAGTTTGCGCACAGTTTACGGTAGATGAATGGGAAAAATTGCGAGCCGCCGGCGAAAGGGCTCGTGTCGCATTTGATTGTCTTGTCGCGACTCGTTTTCACTTGTAAGTGTCGGGGTTGAAGGGGGCAACTGGGAGAAGAGAGGAATCGAGTGCCCTTAACCGTGATGGGGAAGATTGTCGCAGACTGCGGAAGGGCGGCAAAAATTCACGGTGCTCGCGCGCGCCGTGTGCTTATTTGTCACGTTCGCGTTTAATCGCGCGTCGCAACGCGCGCGAATAAAAATCGCGGCCGCGTGTAAGACGTCCGAAGCGAGGCGCCCGCGCCGCTTCGCACGTCGGCCGGCCAAGTGGACAATTCTCAACGAATTAAATCCTAAATTGGCGCTTGTTTATCACCAGCCGCAGTGTCATTTATCCTGAATATTTACGTTTCACCGGCAACGAAATACTCGCGCGACGTGCGCTGCGTTAATTATACGCGCGGCGATACGTCACATATTTTCCCCTAGAATAATGAATTTCATATGTTTGGCGCAAACGGAATTTAATTTTACACTGGATCCTGCCAATTTCGCGAAATGTCAATGCCTGAAATATAGATGATGTACAGTCGCCCGAGGAATGCGAATTTAATATTTCCTTGAATTTAAGCCATAAAGGGCGCGGGGTGCGCTGAATTTCGCATTCTTCGCGGAGACAATCGCGAGAGACAGAGAGAGTGAGAGAGAGAGAGAGAGAGAGAGAGAGAGAGAGAAAGAGAGAGAGAGAGAGAGAGAGAGAGAGAAAGAGAGAGAGAGAGAGAGAGAAAGAGAGAGATAGGGGGGGGGAGAGGGAGAGCATGTTCTGCATGAGCGTGCATGTGGCTTGCGTAAGTCACACGGAAATCTAACGGATCTTTTGACATCTCGAACGGCTCTCATATCAAGTCAGAGCATAAAAAATAAGTAAAAAAAGAATATACGTTCTCAAACGCTGAATTTCTGAGATACAGCTGCCGCAATTTCGCTTTTAACAAAATACGAGGGCAGTCTGAAAAGTTCTCGGCCTGACACATAGATGGCATTAGAAACTGTCAAACTATAATTGTACTGGAAAGTGGCATCCCTGATATAAACCCATGTAAAATTTTATTTCGATCTGTCAAGTCATTCGAGTAGTAGCACCAGTTTAATATTGACGTGTCATTGTCTTTTTTAAAATGGAAAAAAATTGAATATCGTGCAGTGATTAAATTCTTTGTTTTGGATGGTTTAACACCAACAGAAATTCATCCGAAATTGTTAAAAGTGTATAAGGATGCATCACCTTCACTTTCCATTGTGAAAAAATGGGCTGCTCTTTTTAAATCTGGTCGTACAAGCTTCGAAGATGATCCACGCGAAGATTGTCGGCAAAAACTGCTACAACACCACAAAACATTCAACAAGTTCATGATATGGTGTTGGATGATCGGCGAGTGAAAATGCGTGAAATAGCTGAAGCCATAGGCATCTCGAAAGAACGAATTGGAAATATTTTGCATGAAGAATTACATATGAAAAAGCAATTTGTGCAAGATGGGTGCCGCATTTGCTAACAATTGACCAAAAACGCATTCGAATGCGTATTTCTCAAGCGTGTTTGGATCGTTTTAAGCAAAACGGAAAATGGATTTCAAGCGTCGTTTCATAACTGTTGATGAAACTTGGATCCACTACTATACACCAGAGCGAAAAGAACAGTCGAAACAATGGATTGAAGCCGTGATTGGTGGACGTGTACCAAAGAAGGCAAAGACGGGTTTCCATCAGCAGGAAAGGTTAAGGCAACAGTTTTTTGGGATTACAAAGGTGTTTTGTTGATCGATTATCTTCAGAAAGATAAAACGATTAACTCTGAATATTATTGTAACCTGTTGGATCTATTGCATGCAAAAATTCGTGAGAAAAGATCTGCTTTAAAGAAGAAAAGAATCGTTTTCCATCAGGACAATGCACGTGTTCGCACAAGTGTTTTAACAATGGCAAAATTCAACGAATTAAAGTACGAATTGCTTGAACATCCAGCGTATTCACTAGATTTGGCTTCTCTCTGACTATTATCTGTTTCCAAACCTGAAAAAATTCCTGGCTGGAAAACATTTTATATCAAATGACGAAGCTATTGCAGCCGTGGATGGATATTTTGCAGACCTTCCGGAATCACACTTTAATAATGGTATGGAATTATTGGAAAAACGTTGGAATAAATGTATTGAAGTTTTAGGAGATTATATTGAAAAATAAAATATATTTCACGGCAAAAAATATTTTCTTTCGTTGTTAGGCCGAGAACTTTTCAGACTGCCTACGTATATATTCCACTCGTTAAATTGTGTTGCTTACGAATATCTAACTGGACACATCCTGTTTGTAACGAGGCACACCCGCGCCTCGTTACTACCGACCCGACCGACCATCCATCCAACGGGCCGATGAACGGCGCTTAGCGCCACCATAAACCAACAAATATCGCGCGCCGCTCGATCGCCGCCGTATCAATCGTAGAAAATACGACGAAATAAAACGGCTCCTCAGGATCGAGCTCCTCAGGACCAGACCGATCCGTGCCGGCGATTCGATCTAGACGCTTGTATGCCGAAAGAGAGAATAATATCCGGAGCGTTTCGCTCTGCTTTCCGTATTCCGACTAGCCGACCGACGACTAAGCAAACGGGATTGTGCGTCCGCAGTCTCGATCGAGCGTGCTCTCGATACTTAGCCGCCGCCTCCTGTCTTCCTGGGCTCGTGCGTGCGCGTGCTCAGTCGAGAGCGTGCTCGGTCGTCGTCTCTAGCCTTTACCCGCCGCCCCGAGCCAGGGGTTCGTCCGTCGGCGAACTCCGCTGAGCGTGCTCAGCCTCTGAGTGATCCGTCTAGCGACCAGGCACCCGGGACGCGGTGCGTCCGCCGTCTCCGCTGAGTGTCTGCAGCACTTGGTCGTTCTCCGCGACCACGTGCCGCAGAAGGGAAAAGGGGAAAAGGGAAGGTGCGTGCGCCTTCTCCGTCGAGAATCCTCGGCCCCGACGGACGAAATCCTTCCGCGTCTTTCGCGACTCGCGTGCGAGCGTTCGACCGAGAGAGTCGAAATCTCCGGTCTGGCGACCATCTTTGCGCGCGCGCGCGAGCGATTGCGAGTCGAGCATTGGGCGACAATTGTCGCCGAGACGCCCAGCGTCTCTCGCGGAGCTAAGGCTTATCTCAGCGCCGTTACCGTCTTCGCCGGCTACACGCGTCGCGCAATAGGCCCCGCCTACCGCGCGGCCTGTATTATTATAAAACGTCTCGCTGCTTTCCTCCTCACCGAAACTCCGGACTCCGACGAGCCCTATCCGCGCAAAACGCGTAGCGACGACCGCGAACCGCGGAGTTCGGCCGTTACATGTCGTACGAATTGCTCAAAATTTTCTGCCACGACTCCTGCAAGCTCCACGAAAGTGTAGACGTTGATGAGACGTCGAGGGGAAATAATAAGCTTTTGTTTCTTAATTTCACTCGCGACAAGCGCTAACGATACACCGCCGTCATAACGAGTAATTTTCCTCGGTTAATATGTTGGGAAATGAAAAGATCGACGGGTTATTACTTTCGCAAAACGGGTGAGAAAAATGTGTTGCATTAGCATTAACTTAAATCCGCTGATCGCGGGGCGCATTACCTGTGCTCATTGTTGCCACTTTCGAACGGCTGCATCTCGAAAACCGAGCTTTTGCGGACGTATGTTTACCAAGATCTTTTTATCCATTCTCCAACACGTGGAACCTGCCCTGCAAGTTTGCCGGCGGAGAGTCCAGATATACACCCCGTATAAATCGATAAAAAAGATCAGCCTTCTGTGGCTCGAGTTTAAAAGCGGCGTGTACGGCGCAGGGTGGGAATTATCGAACGGCGGCGGTGGGGTAAATAAAGGTCGCGAATGGCGGTGCCGCGATCGCGAATTTCCGCGGCGCGTCGGAGATCGATTTTCGCCACCTCGTGTGTCTTGGAAATAGACGACGGAGCGCAGAAAAATCCGGATCGGATCTGAAATTCGGTGCGTTTACGGGTGAGCGCGCTTGCGAAATTATCCGCGGCTCCCGCTATCCGACATTAATGGCCGACCTATTTGCATATCGCGTTTAAGCTGCGCGGAGCGTTATTCCGGCTTAATACCGCACACTGCGCGCGGGAGCATATATACTTATCATCTCTTATAACTCCGCGAATATACCGTTCGTTCGGCGCGCGAATACTCTATCTCGCAGCCGACTTCTTGCCCGCAATCTCGCGGGAGTGGCGGGGGTGGCGAGCTCCCGATATCGCGGCGAATAAAACGCGATCGTTATCGCGACACGCCTATCGCGATCGCACATGCATCTCTTGCTTGCAGCGCAACACCCAAACGATCTGTAATTGCAGGTACCATTCCGGAAAGATGATACGCGACTACCTGATACTGCTCTCGTGGCTGTGCGCGGTGCAAGGGAAGATAGGCAAGTATTACGCATTCTCCGCAACTCCGCAACGTATCGGTGAACACGGAGAAGCGTCGTAACCGGGTGTTATACAAGCAGATTTTCAGTCGATGAGCAAGTTGAGGTATCAAGGTATTTTCAGAAGCCTCCTTTTAATCGCTGAATGACCAACGAGAGATCTTTCATTCGAGCAAAATCTCCAACTGTAAAAGTGACTGGAATAACTTACTCAACGCGAATGAAAGTTTTATTGCGAAATTTCAAGCGACGCGGCAAACGAGGACATCCTGTCTCGATTATGTATGGTTTTTTAGAGCCGTCGCCGAGTGGGGCCAGATGACATTTTTTGGTTGAAAATTCTCTAGAGACCTGAATTTCCAAGCGATCATCGACACCAATGGATGAGGTTGATCCTGAATAAATTCCGAAGTGATCTGTCTAGCCGAAATTTTGAAAAAATTATCAGGGTTCAAGGTTCATGGTTTTTTATGAGGTTTTAGGGTTTGTCTTAAAAGTTTATCGTTTAAAGTACAGTGTCTTGGGTTCGACCTCAATGGGTTCGAGTCTATGGATACTAAACGCGAGACCCCAGAACTTATAATCACCTTTTAGAAAACTCAGAATTTCAAAGCTCATCATTTCAGCCCACATTAAGAAAGAATTGAGGATTAAAATCCCTCGGTTTTCTGCTCAACGGGTCTATATTTGATGTTTTCGTGTTTTGGGCGTATGAGTTTTGGGTTAATGGGTTTCTGGTTCAAGATCAATAAATCTCAAGGTGTTTGTCGACTGTTTTCATAGTTTCAATCCGCTGAATACGCTATTAAACAGAAATAAGTGTCGAATAATGAGTATTTCACAAGTTTCTCGCATTTAATGATAATTTATCCTTTTTTGAGACTAGTAATTCGAGAAAAAAAATTTTTTTTTTAATTTTAACAAGACAGATCTCTTCGGAATTTATTCAGGATCAACCTCATCCGGTGGTGTCGATGATCGGTTGGAAATTCAGGTCTCTAGAGAATAATTTTGAACCAAAGAATGTCATCTGGCCTCACTGTGCATCGGCTCGGTAACCAATATTTCATTTTATCATTTTCAGCTACACTCGCACTACACTGACACGAATAGAAGTAATAATTTTATCAACGAACACATTTTTCTTTCGCACGAGATCATTCGCTGCTTACAAACAGCGGGTTCTCGAGAGCCTTATCGGCCACATTCGATTCAATCAGAAATTAATTCCAGCAAATTGGAGTAATCGTGGAATGGTGAAAGTGAGGATCGCACGTCCGACAGAAGCACAATGCGGACGGAGGAAACGTGAAGCGGGAGGAAAAGCGCGTAACAGCGGATGTAATGGAGCGCTTAAAATTATGACTAGAATCAACGAAACTTTTGCACGGCGTTTCGCACCTCTCCATACATTCATACCGCTGTTGCTGCCTCGCGTTTGCGCGTGCTTATTTCGCGATGTTACCATTAAACGGATTGTTTTTACAGATTAAAATTGCAGCGCCGTAATCGATACGATTTCCACGGATTCTTTGCCGGTGTGTGTGTGTGTGTGTGCGCGCGCGTGCGCGCGAACGTGCGAAAAGAAAAACAACCAGATTAATACGCGGATCATGGCGAAATTTGCGTCCGATGCCGCCAGATTTTTCCGTTTCGCGAATTGCGACCGACGACCGACGGTCAGCGCCAGCGGTCGCGGGTAAAGCCGCAGCACGCTTTAATTTCGCCTTGTGAAATTTCCTCGTATCTATTACCGTTTTCCGGCTGGTAATCAGTCTCAGTTCCGCGGGACAACTTGCATAACGTTCCGGCGTGGCGGTGGCGCTGTCCCGGCGAATTTTTCGCCGGGACAGCGAAATTTCCATCTGCGAAACGAGTTTCGCCGTGTGTGCACACTGCCGGCATTCTTTTTCCCCTTGCTCTTTTTTTTGCCTTTGGTGTAGACACGCGAAAATGATCTCCGTGTTTATTTGCGACAATGGAAGCGCAGCAATTGGCGTGGGATACATTTTTTTTTTCGCATATCTACGGCAACGAAAATTGAACTCACCGATATCCCGCCGGGGGTTTTAATCCGTGGGTTATTTCGACAAGCTTACGCGTTGGTTCGCGGGGGCAAACTTTACGGGACGCAAAAAATTTGTTTATTTAAAAAAATGTGAAAACAGCGGGCTTTCGGACGGGTAAACTAAACCTCTTAATAAAGCAGCGCGTCGCGGTGTTTGACATTTTTGCGCCGGTTTGCTCGCGAGAACGAGCTCGTTTTATTTTGCATCATGCTCTCGGGCGTGTGCGTGCGCGTGCGTCGCCCTTTTCGAGATATGCGTGGCCGTCGATCGGGGCCGACGGAGCGTGTTCGAGCTGCAATTAAGTGCCGGCACGTGTGCTCGTCTGATATTGAACGTTTTAGAATTGATTCCGGCACTTAATGCGGGGTTCGGCGTTCTCCGTTACTTCGTTATTTACCGGCGCGATCGACGTCAAGTTCTCGTGTTGCAGGCTATTTCTGGCATATCACCGACATCCATTACGACCCGAAGTATTCCACGCAAGGAAACGCCGCCACCAGTAAGTAAACGCATTCCGTCCTCGTGCGGGGATTCCCAGTCGCGCTTTCACGCGAACCGGCCGCGACCGTGCTCGCGATTTCCGCTCGACTCCATTCGAGGAGTCGCTGCTCGGAGAAACGAGCCGTCGCGTCGTCGAATCGCGCCGACGATTCGGGGGATGATGCGTTCGCTCGCAGGCGCTCGCGTGCCGGCGAAGCGCGCAGCGCGACGCTCTCGAAGCGACATTCACCGGCGGTTTTATTTGATCCCGGGACACGCCGACACATGCAGCGACGGCGGCGGGTCACTCCCCCGGGCTCGGTCGCGTAATTGTTAGCGAATTTTTTCACATTTTATCCCGATCCAATTTCAAATCTCGTCCAATCGCTCTCACGCGAGTCTCATTCTATCAAATCTCATCCCGTCCCGGCTCGCGAAACAGGCTACGTGATCGCGATTTTGCGAAATTCGCGCCAAAGTTTTCACTTTTCCCTTTTTTCGCTCTTACCAGTCGGGGCGGAGGGCGGGAGGGGAAATACGTGATCGACCTGCCGATGCGGAAGTCGAGCCTCGACCTTAGCAGCCACCGCGCGGAGGCGTCGCTCTGTTGCCGCGGCGAACTTCTTGCCGAGTAGTCGCCTGCGTCAACACTGCCTGGTGCACCGATTCGCCGCGAATAATCTCGCGAACATTGCGCGCGGTGTACGAAGAGAGAGAGAGAGAGAGAGAGAGAGAGAGAGAGAGAGAGAGCACGCAGCGTGCGAATTCGCACCCTGTCGCGTGTCGCTGCTTGTGTGTACGTTCGAAGTTCACTTGTACGTCACTTCCGGCGTGCCTTGCTGATTCCTCCGCGTTGGATTTCGCCGGCGTCTCACCTCGACGGGGAGATTAGTTCTCGCGCGGGATTTTCCTTTTTGTTTTTATCGGGCTGTCGCTCCACGGTCGAGCCGGGCCGCGCGATCAGACGAGTCCCGAGTTTTAGCGAACATAACACATACGCCCCCCGGATCTTTATACATTTCATTCTCTGACGATCGCACGGACGAATTATTGTCATTCCGCTAACGGGAAGGCGAAACCGTTATTTACCCGGCCTCTCGCGCTGGTATTTACCGATCGTTTTAAAGTACCTGGCGTGTCTAGCTGGCACGAGACTTGCATGAAATAGCAGTCGCTTAAATTACCACACACCGCCTACCCTCCTTCCCGCCACACTCTCCCTTCTCGGCCGCCCCGCCACCCTTATTACAGCCTCGTGTCATTCGAACGTTAGCCGGACGACGCGAGTCGAAGCTAAGCGAGCGCGCGCGACATGAAGTCGGGCAAGTTTTATTTCGAATAACGAGATAAAGAGCGCGATTAAAACTTTGAGATTCATTCCTGTGATAACAAACGGACTTTTTTATTTTCTCACGCGCCCTCACGCGTATGAGAGTCAGCCGAAGTTCTGTCGCTCGTTAAAATGTTCCGTCGCGAACACTGGCGCGACGGCAGGAGAGAAAGAGAGACCTGACGTTATATCGTCAATTACGGGATCCTCGATCCTGAGGAAACCATGCCGGCCGTCGACGAGGGACATCTCCGTCGGACGCCTCAGGTCGCGAACGAGGAAGGGCCTCGTCCCAGCGGGATTTTCGTCGACAATTTGATTCCAGTCGGAATTTAGACGACAGTTGATCTGTTTCCGCCGCGCGCATTAATTCCACTCGCGTAGCAGTTGCAGCGGATTCATTTGAATTTTTATTCGGCTAAAAAGTTTACTCGGCTAACATTCTTCTCGCGCGGTGGTACGCGGCGCGATTCCCGCGATCAGCGCTTTTTCCACCTCCTCGCCCCGAACACCCTTCCGCACTTCCGTCGGCCGCTCCGAGGCGCGCAGGGGTCTCCTCGTTTACCGAAAGCGTGTTTCAGTGTGTTGGAACACGCGAAACAGCGTCGACGGCGGGAGGATAAGGCTCGACAGGAAACTGGCGGGCGAGTTTGGCGACTACAGCTGCGACTCGCCCTGGGCCCTCATCGAATCGGCGGCGCGAGCGATGAGATCGAAGCACGGCGAAGGCATCGAGTTCGTCCTGTGGACGGGGTGAGTTGGACATTCGCTCGGATCTTTCGGCGCCGCGCCGTGACGGGCTGGATATTTCGCGGATTCATCCAACTGGCCCGGAGACAATCTTCTAATTGTCCCGAGCTGCGCTCCTCCCCGACTAGAAAGGAGGAGGGTCTCTAAGACCTGTTTTCGGCACCCTTCAAAATTGGACCAAAATGGCTGGAATCACTTCCTTATGCCTTATCCTTGGAAGTAATATTTAGTCAATTCCAGCCTAAACGGAAGTATTTAGAGTGTAATACTTCAAGTACACATGGTGCATCAGCGCACCCGTATCAAGCATTTCTTTGGAAAACTAAGCGTTTCTGAGAAAAATGTTTCAGATCAAAGTTGTATGGTTTCAAGGAGGACATAAGATGGTGTCATTGGTTTGACCTTGGATAGTCATTTGAAGGTCACGTGAATGTCGATTTCAATATTTCATATAGAACCCCCTATTTTTACATATCTTGTAGCTTATCTCGAGAGCTTTCCAAAACGCTATCGTAGATCACGTAGAAACACTTATTACAAATACTTCTGAAAGAAATGACTGACGTATTTTCTGCCGCAAAGCTAAATACGAAGTTTTGAAAAGAACTGTTTGAAGAACTGTATGCACCTTTTGAGCAACTACGATCCCTTAAGCTTTTAATTCAATAGCCCAAGTTCTGCTTATGTCCATGGCCTTATATCGGACCCGATCTCACATCTTAATGTCAGAGATACACAAAATGCGTACCCAGGGACCTGGTTACGATAAAAATAAAACTAGTTCTTGTCAGAGCTGCTTCTCGAGATTTTCTTATTACGCAAAAAGATATCTTGTTATTTTTGAGTTTTCCTTCTTTATTTTTTCTCTTTTTTTAGTTTTTAATCTTGCATAATTATTCAGATTTGTTCTACAGTGAATTGCAATTTATAATTAGGCGTTTCCAATATGGCAGAAAATATTAATGTTCCTGCAAACGAAACAATAACTATTCCTTTTAGTAGGCCATCTATGACACATAAATGCACTATCTGCAAAGCTAAGTCGCCGCTTGTTGTTGTACCATCCCTGGCTAAACTTCGGGTTTTTGTTAAGCGTGGATTGATAATTGATAAAAAGTGACAGACAAGGGAACTCACGTAAATCCAACACCCCACTCTACGTGGCTTCTTAAAGGAAGATTACGTTTACGATTTTACCGTTCACGTGTGGAGAATCAATAAGAATAAATAATACGATTTCAATCTCGGATCTCCTTAAGTAACGTTTCTACAAATCTATCTGTAAGAATCCTTGTAACTCGCAAAGTACTTAATGAAAAATGACTTAGTTATAAGTGTTTTGGAAAGCTCTCGAGATAAGCTACAAGATATGTAAAAATAGGGGGTTCTATATAAAATATAGAAATCGACATTCACGTGACCTTCAAATGACTATTCAAGGTTAAACCAATGACACCATCTTATGTCCCCCTTGAAACCATACAACTTTTATCTGAAACATTTTTCTCAGAAACGCTTAGTTTTCCAAAGAAATGCTTGATACGGGCGCGCTGATGCACTATGTATACTTGAAGTATACACCCTAAATACTTCCGTTTAGGCTGGAATTGACTAAATAGTTACTTCCAAGGATAAGGTATAAGGAAGTGATTACAGCCATTTTGATCCAATTTTGAAGGGTGTCGAAAACAGGCCTTAAGGACACCCTTCTGCTTTATCCCATGATCCTGATCAGGTTAACCTCATTTAGACATCAGGTCCCAATAAGGTGATACTATCGGGTTCTAGTATAAGTCATGTAACGCAGCGTGGATATCAGGACCTTAGTAAGGATTCATAGTCAGATCCTTATTGAGTTACCTTACGGAGTTACCTTATGGAATCCTTATTACGTTTTTTTCTCAAATTATGACTCCTGATTACTCGCCACGGCTATATTGGATGATGACATTGGAAATAAGAAATGACACGCTGAGAATCCTTTCATGTCATTTCCAAATAAAAAGATATTTGCATGAAATAATATTTTAGATCGCTCGAGTATACTTGTAAAATGTTTCGGTAAAGAAACATAAAATGAATATCATACGATCATAAAGTTTCACAAGGTGACAAGACATAAAGTGGTGTTAAAGAGGAAAGTTGCATGTCACGTTAATTTTACAACTATTTATTGACTGCTAAAGAAAGGATAGTTCCTATAGCATCTTACAAATATATTCAAGTGATCTCAAGTGTTTTTTCAATGCAAACATCTTTATATTTGGAAATGACACTCAAAAATTGTTTTGTTAAAACTTGATAATGCAAATCATATTAGCTACAATGAATAAGATCCCGACAAGGACCTGATCAACTGAACCATATTATATGATACACTAGGTTGGTACATTAAGCTCCTAATGTGGACCCAATCATTATAACCTTATAAAGGTCTTCCTTATTCATTTGTCGTTAAGATATTATAAGGAATGACTTACTCAGGATTACCTTTCATTCACCCTATTAGGTCCTTATCAATGTTAAGTGAACCTGATCAAAACTTCTAGTCGAGTCGTGTCCCCCTCAGTTTCGCTCCGTAGCGATTTTTGTCTCTCATCCGCCGTCGCGTGTCAAACGAGTCGATGGATTTTGAGAATGCGGGCGAGAGCCCGCCAGAGATTTTTCTGCGACGGTCAGATGCCGGAGGTCTGGCCGACATTGAGCGTTTCTTTTCGCGCCTCGCCGCAAGCGAGTGCACTCTTAGCGAGTTTATTACTGCACGTGAATTCTTGCGCTTCGCGGGGATTTGCTCAATTCTTCGCGATTGCGCGATCTCGAGGCTCGAGAAATACGTCGCGTTTCGCGATTGCTCCCCTTCGAAAAAATCGACTCGTGCGATGCCCGGGATGTTTCATCGTTTTAGCTGCCGCTGCTTCAAACCTTCTTTTTCGTCCTCGTTTCGACCTCGCCCCGTATACATGAGACGCGATAAAACGTCCGGATCGTTTGCTGCGGATTATCTTCAACATTGTGCTGGCAACACCGTCAGCAAGTATGGTCAGTCGCGATTATTCAAAATATATTCCAAAGCGGGAAGAGCGGGTATGCAATGGTGAGATAAAAGCTCGGAATGTCAAAAATGAAAAAAAGAAACTAAAGTCGGCGGAGATAAAAGTTCGGCCGGGTTTTCTATCAAGCAGCCTCAAACAGCTTTGAATTTGCAAAATTTGCGAAAGAACGGAACAAAAGCCTTTGAGGTGCGGCACACACTGCGTATAACATTGCGTAGCATTGCGTTAGAATTCGGCGTTGCGTGGCAACGCAATTTAAATTGCCGGCGAAAGATAACGCCGGCGTGTGTATATCCTGCAAAACATGCGGAACAAGCACCGTGTTCCGTCGTTATTATTACCACATCGCTGTTATCGTTAATCTTGCCGGGAACACTGATCTTGCAGTTATTGTTATTGCTAACCTACGTTATATTTACCCTTTGAGCAGGAAGAGAGAGAGAGAGAGAGAGAGAGAGAGGGAGGGAGGGAGGGAGGGAGGGAGGAAGCGGCGAGACGATGGATAAAACGTATTTGAAAATGTATTCATGTGAAAAATACTCTTCCATTTTACAATAGTCAAATAACACGGCGGCGCGGCGGGAGCGGCGCACGGTCGTTAATAATGACTGCTAAATGATTCGCCAGCGTATTATAATTTATTCACGCGCCTTCATTTATTATCGATAAAATTATAAACAAAGTCCGGCCTGGGTCCGAGCCGGGTTACTTGTTAATTCAGTCAATAACGCGCCGTATTATGCCGTGTTTAATTGATTACCGTTAAATAAATTTACTTTACGAACGATTTACTAGTTAGAAGCGCGCGACTTCCCATTAATTACCGGAAGCGAGGAGTGCAGTTCCGCTGACCGGTATAAATTGCGTCCACGAGCGATGGCTTTCTAACCACTTAGCGTTGCTTCACTGCGCAATTATCGAGGGCCGTGGACGTGCGGGGATACAACGTAGCGGAAGCTGCAAGGAAAAAGGAGGAGCGACGCGATCGGTCGATATAAATGTATTTGACAAATCCCAAGACCTGATCAACGGCGACGGGCTCGATCAGTCGGCGCTGCCTCCTTCGTCCATGACACGAAGAACATACGAGAGACAAAGAGAAAGAGAAAGAGAAAGAGAGAGGGAGAGAGAGGGAGAGAGAGAGAGAGAGAGAGAGGGAGAGCGCGCGCACGCAAATTGCTCTTTAAGAAAAGCACTCGCTCAGTCTGCACCATTGTTTATGCCGTTTCCAAGACGCGCGCAGCCGCTATCCTTCTCGCGCCAATTCTCCCCGATCTTCGTCGTCGAGGCGGCGAAGGTGACGACGCGACGGAGGCTTAATCAGCCATCAGTTATCGTTGACACGGCAATTATCAGCGTCCCGTGCTCGGCTGACAACGTGTATGTACGCGCGATTCCGTCGTTGTCGTTGTCGACGTCGTCGTTGTCGTCGTCGTCGTCGTCGTCGTCGTCGTTGTCGTCGTTGTCCCCGTCCTCGTCCTCGTCCTCGTCCTCGCTGTTGTTCTCGCCTTGTTCGTGGCGTCGCATCGCGCAGCTTCATCTCGCGACGCAACGGGACGCGACGCGACGCGACACGACGCGTCCTTATTTCCCGACGTTTCCTCTTCCCCGTCGTATTTATCAGCGATAATCACCGGGCCGACACTCGGTCCTGTAATCCTCGGCAGCGCGCGTTCTGTGTAACCAGGACTAACGAGGCTGTAACTACTTGTTGCAGTGACGCGCTGACGCGCACCGCCGGCATGAGCGTCGAGCTGCGTCTGCAGTGTTTGCGAAATCTGACCGATCTGTTGTCCCGCACGTTCAAGGGACAATTCGTATTCCCCGCGCTCGGCCACGAGGACATCGGCGTCAGCTACACGCAGCTCGCGGATATTTGGCACCAGTGGCTACCGCAGGAGGCGCTCGACACCTTCGAGAAGGGTACGTACTTCTTCCGCGCGCGCGCGCGCGATGCGCGATGCGCGAGGCGAGCGAATGTACCGTGTTTGCGAGGGCTTCCCACCGCGGCCGGCCGCCTCGTCCTTCTTCGCCCTCGTTCCTTCCTCCTGCCGGCGCCGCAGAGCATTGTGGAGTCGTAGCCTCTCGTGGCTGGAGGATTCAAGCCGCTGCAGCCAAGCAGCGACTTACTCGGGAGGAAGAAATGGCAGCGAACCCAACTGAGACGGCATCCGACGTCCGGTGTGTGCGGGCACGGATCTCCTCGCTGTGATACTCCGGGGACCGGAGCCGCCATCGAATGCATTTATGACTTTATTGAGAAGACATATTTCGCGGGCAGAGTTGCCCGCGAGCTATTATTTCGAATAAGTACCCTCGATCTATGGGATGCAATTCAACGTGGTTACTTCCTGGTCCGCTTCGCAGGAATACAGCCCTCTACCTCGGTAGTTTACAACCGGTGCTCAGAAATTTCCCCCCTCTTTCCCTCCCTGTTTCTGTCGCCTCCCCCCTCCCCCCCCGCCCTCTTACACTCTGAACAGTTTCCCACTAGTCATTAAGCGTCAGTTAAATTTTCATTCAGCTTTAAAAGCCACTTTGCACTAAACGTTCGCTCGTTACAGCTATTACGTTAACAGTTTTCTCTCTGTCCGGCCTCTATGCGCGTCGCAGGACGATGTAAGGACGCGATATCGATAGCTTCGTACGCTCGAACCGGCGCGAACTCGCGCGACTCGCGCCATGAATCCGTAATTGTAATCCCGGAATATTAATTTAAGGATATCTAAGGATAACGATAACGGCGTGCGCTTAGGAAAAAGATAGCCGATAATATCCTTCCGCGGTAACAACGCGCTTTGTTTTGTATATTCCGGAGCGCGCTCGCGATGAGAATCTAACGAAGGCGGGAATAAAATTTCACTCGTATAAATTCCGGGGCGGACGCGGGAATATAAAAATTCGTTCGTTAGCGGGTGGAAAATTCAGGCGGAGATTCAGCTTTGAAGGAAGGTGTACGCATGCACACCTCCTCGTTCCGAATCGATCTTGAAGTTTTCTCGGCGCTGCATTCGGGCTTCGGGCAAGTGTATAAGCGTAAAATTCGCCCGGTCCCGATTTCAAAGTAACAATATTGCGTCGAATAACTCTGCTCGCGTGCAATATCTGGCTGTAATCCGAGTAACGGCCGAGAACTAGCGCGAAGCAGCCCCGCGCGCAGCACGGCGCTGCCGGCGCATACCGTCTACCATCTTTGCCCATAAGTGCGTACCTACGATATTATGCATTTAGTGCCGCGCCGTAATGTATTAATGTTCGGAAAGAGGCAGAGATCTTACCGCCCCGGAAGCTGCATAAATGATCGCGGCGAACGAGAGTCTCGTGCCGACCTTTGATTTCGAGACGCGCGCAACGGCTCGCTGTGCAATATTTATCGATACTTCACTCTGTCTCTCCTTCTCTCCCCCTCTCTCATCCTCTCCTTCTCTCCCTCCCTAGCCCTCGAAAACGTTACGGCACAAAGTAAGCTTATTGGCGGGCATAAATTCGCCAGGGCTTTACCGCCGGCTCGGCGCGCTATTCAAAATTTGTTGCAGCCGGCTACTATACGATCGAGCAACGCTCGAAGAAGTATCGGATCGTCTTCCTTAATACGAATTTGTGGCTGAATCCGGTGGACAGCCGTATGCTGCATCGCGCCGGCAGCACCACGGTCGATAACACGCAGGATCCTTTTGGCCAATGGTTCTGGTTCGAGTCGGTGCTCGAGAATGCGCGGAAGAAGAAGGAGACGGTAGGTTGATCCTGTACAATCTATGATATTACCGGTCCTCTCGCTATCGCCGTGCGTCAGACGCATTCTCTTTTCGCCGCTCCTTCCCCTCACGCTTCTTCTCTCTCTCTCTCTCTCTCTCTCTCTCTCTTCCTTTATTGTCCGCTCTCTCCTTTTTTCTCTCTCTCGCCCCTCCCGCTTTTTATTTTTTTTCGCTCCTTGTTCTCTCTTCTGTCCTCGCGCGGTGTGTTTTCTTCTCTTCTCTTCTCTTTCCTTTTTGCCTCTCGTGTTTCGGCAGCTATATCGCGTCGTCCCGGCGCGGATATACGGCGACGAGATAATTCCCGACGTCGTCGTATATCGTTTATCGATTTCTGCCGGATAAGGAAGCACCGTGAGCGATTGAGGCGAGTCCTGCGGTTCGGATGCGGACAGAAACTAGCGCCGAATAGAGAGAGAGAGAGAGAGAGAGAGAGAGAGAGAGAGAGAGAGAGAGAGAGAGAGAGAGCGAGAGAGAGGGAGAGAGAGGGAGGGAGAGGGAGAGGACACAGGCGAGCAACCCGGCCGAGAGTCTCGATACTAACCCGATCGCTGTGAATCGATTCTTGTTTGGACAGTTACCCCCGCCGGGGTAATGGAATTTTCGTCTTTTAATGCATGTGTCGCGTTATTTTGCCAGCGATATCGATCGCCGCCGACTCTCGTGGGGCTTCTCCCCTCTCCCTCCCTCTCTCTCTCTGTCGTTCTCACTCGACAAGCTCGGAAGTAAATTAAGCGAAAGTATTCGACGGAACACGACTATCTTCGCTGTACGTAATTCGATTTTAAAACAAATATCGACCACGCCACGACATAAAAGTCGCACTGGAAACTTTGCATGTTCGTCGAACCGTGCGTGTGTGCGCGCACGTGCATGTCTCGTGCAAATTGTACGAGACATCGAGAGGCGATACGCGGACGTGCGGGAAGAGACATTTTCACCTGCGAATCGCGAACGAATCGCGTCGACTTGTTCTTTCTTTCTTTCTTTCATCCTCCTCCTTTCTCTCTCTCTCTCTCTCTCTTTCTCTCTTGAGATTGGCGGTTAACGCGCTTCGCTTAAGAGGAGAAGAACGAGAGAGATGAGTTAATTGAGCGGGGCAATTAGCGCGCGGGACTTGCCGCGATGAATTCAAAGTCGATTTTTCCTGGAAGTGGAAACGTCGCAGCGTCTATAATCCAGTCGAGTTACGAGCGATCGAGGAAGAAGCGCGCGCCTTTTTTCCCTCTCTCACCGCTGCATTCTCCCCTCTCTCTCTCTCTCTCTTTCTCTCTCTCTCTCTCTCTCTCTCTCTCTCCCTCTCTCTCTCTCTCTCTCTCCCTCTCTCTCTCTCGTCGCGAACGAAGCTCGCGGGGAAACGACGGACAACAAAATCGTGCTTTGCTCGGTTAATTGCAGAGATAAAGATCGCTTCAACCTGAAGCTGAAATTTTCATCTGAATCTCCGCCGCGGAGATACGTAACGCGGAAAATTGGAAAATTGCGGCGAACGCTGGCTTCACCCGACTGGTTAATCGCCGAGGGAAAATCGATTTCTCTCCTTCAGCGAGAGCCTACGTTAAAACGACGACGCGAAGTGTGCACGGAACACTCGATACACGGCGAATTAGTACGTAATATTGTAACAGGTGCGCCGCCGCATCGGGGTATTATAATTATTAGGTGTACCGAGAGCTCCATTACGACCAGGAATGATCGAAAGAACGGATAAAATCTTAACATTAGTCCGCGCTCTGTCAATTTTCACGCAACGTTGCTCCGCTGGCCGCTTGCCTGCCCGCTCGCCCGCTCGCCCGCTCGATCGGTCGGTCGGTCGACCGCTTTCCGATCGATGCGAAAGCGAGCAATGACGTTTCGAGTGTTGAATCGCGCTCGCGCCGTTATAACGAGCGCAATAACGCGATCGTTCGGCCGCAAATAAATGAAGTCCCCCTCTAACGAAGTCAATCGTCGATAAAACTGCGAACGCGAGTCGCGCGATACGATTCCCGATCGGGCGAAATGAATCGCGCGGAGCCGGTCGAAAGCCGGTTTCCTCGTCGCGCTCGGTCAGCGCCGATCGGGAAATACATCGCGGGAACGATGAAATGCACTTGGAGCTAATAATATCCCGGGCCCTCAGGATCAGGGCGAGCGACGAGCGTCGCCGCGATCCGATCGGCGTTTAACGTCGTTATCGCCGGCACATCGTTGCCGAGGTGTCGGCAGCGACGAAAGCGCAGATCCCCGAAGCGGATCGATAACTTCCTCGAATGAAATTTGCCGGCGATGTTAAGATAAGCCAGGCGTCAGCGTTCTTTTGTGCCGCTCCGTGTGTGTTGACACAAGTCCAAGTCGCGGAGCTGCAAGGTTCACGGGCGACCGGCGACGCGAGAGCGATCGGGGCTTCGCGCGACCTCCTCGCGTTCGCGTTCTCGCGAACGAGATCGAAAGCGACTGGAGAGAGCGCGGAAGGAGGAAGAACGAGGGAAAACGGATACGTACACGGTATACACGCGGCGTAAATGTATGCCGACGGAGTCGAGGTATTTTCGTTGGAGCGAACGCGTTAATTGCCTGCCTATCACGAAGAAACTCGGCTGCGCGAGCAAGCGGTACAAGGAAAAGGCGGGTGGTGATGCTAGAGTTGTTCTTTACACGTCCAATAAATTTCCAAATAGATTTTTAATCAGCGCCTAGGTCCGCGCGGAACTTGGCCAGCGCGCACCGCGAATATCCGCGATGCGAAACTCGGCAGTCGCTTTAGAAACGACTCCGTCCGGGATCCGATTGCGCGCTTTTCGAAAAGCCGCGCGTTTCCAGCCGCGAGATTAACGTGCGCGCTTCACATTCGATTAATATTTCTCTTCTCCCCGCCGCTTTCTCGTCCCCTTCCCTTCGTCTTCCTCCGCGCTTAAGGAAATACAATACGACGGCCGATAATGTAAATTTCCCGAGCAATAGTCGCGAGACGGCGATCTCGCGCGTCTCTCACACGCGCGTCTACTCCTCGACATTCGTTGAGCCTCGTGTTATATCAACGAATCGACGGGACTCGATTCTGATCAATGAACAAGCAAACGTCATTCTCGCCGCGATCGCTCGCGATTCTCCGTGCCCCGCCCGCGCGTCTCTCGATGTGTCGAATATTGCGACGCGGCAGCGCGGCGCGGCATCGCGCGCAGAGAATTCTCGCGATTACCGGCCCGCACTATATCGGGCTCGTCAAACATCGCGGAATTATGGCAAATATTTCGCCGAGTAAATATGCGGGCATAAAACAGCCTCGGAGGGCCGGGGGGGGGGGGGAATAGGCGACCTCGCGTGTCGCACGACAAGTTGAGTAATTGAAGGGTACCCGCGCAAGGTTATTACTCAGGTTCGCGCGCAGCTTATTGTTTCGCAAAAAGCGTGAGAAACCCAAGAACCGGCGGGGCGTTAGGGAAAATTTAAGGTGGCGTTATATTATCTCTCGACCGGTTAAATAAGCGTTTCGTCCTGCTGCCGCGCCGGGCGCAACGTGATACACGTCCACCCTCGCTTTTTCCTCACACCATGCTTCGCGAACGAGATCTACGATCTTCCTCGGCGACCGCGAGCGACGAGAGAGAGAGAGAGAGAGAGAGAGAGAGAGAGAGAGAGAGAGAGGAAGAAAGAGAAAATTACGAGATATTTATGAGACATTATTGATATTCGGCGTTGCCATCCATTAAATATATCCCGCGCGTAAACAGGATTCACAGTGACGTGTCATGGACAATAGGACGGAACGTGAGGAAATGTATTTAAATTTGCAGCGATTTATTAAAGATTCAGGAGTCGTTCGACGGATTAAAACTCGCCCGCCCGTCCGCTCGCTCTCGCTAACGTCCGAAACAGGGTATCCCCATCCCCCCCCTCCTCCGTCCTCATCCCGCACGTCGTGTTTCAATTTTAAGCGTATTAAACGAGAAAGCAGTTTACACGACTCCCCGGTAAGACGAGATCTGAGCAAGCCGAAACAGCTGTTCCTTTAATGCGAACGTTATTATGACGCTTCGCAGCGAGCAACTCTCGCAAGTACTTACGCTCCGACTGATCGCGCGCTGTTTATCCTACGAAGCGACTCACTTCGTTTTATTTACCGTTGTCCCTCAGACTCGTCGTATCGCAGCGCGTTGATTACACTCTCTATACGGAGTCTCGCTCCTTCCCCGCGCCCTCCCGCCCCTTCTCGATTGTTCGACGTTTAGAAGCCGTCCCGGGCAGCCGAACGTGACGCACGTGGAAGAACGTAGAAATTTTTTGCCGCCGCTGACAGTGTTTCGCGCCGGGCTCTCGCGATCGAGAGAGCATCGGCGCTGTTTGGCGCGTCATATTAAAACGGTAACGCGACAGAGATGTGCTTGTCACGAAGATAGATTTTAATGAAATAAATTTCCGACGGGCCGAATAAAATCCCGTCGATCGGCTCTCAATGAGATGTATGATTTATCAAGCAGCCCGTGTGTTATCGCCCGTCGCTTTCGTTCCTCCTCGTTCGCGCGCTTATAAATTACGGCGCACCAGAATACACGCGCCCGCCCGGACCGGCCCGACGCGCCCTGGTGGCAGATTAATTTCCGCGCGAGCGCGAGCGCGGGGATATTCCATATTTCCCAGGTTGGAAAAATTTCCTCGCGCGCACGCGGACGCGAGTAAAGACTCGCTCTCCCTCTCTCTCTCTCGACGATGACAGCGAAGAAGAAGCATCGAGAGATAGGAGAGAATGGACTGCCTCGCGAGGCAAAAATTCGGATTCCCACGTGGCGAGCAGCTCTTCATTCGAAGCTTATAATTATCTCGCGCCGAGGACGCACACGCAGAAAGCGCACTCCGCGCTTTCCGATTTTCTTAATCACGCCGCGCTTCGTCGTTCGACGGCTTATCGGCTTATCTCCGTCGCGCACACTCCTGCGTGGCGCGGCGCCGCGCGACGCGACGCGGCTCGACTGTGGAGCCGCCCGAATATAGATTTGTAATC